TTAATACAATTTTTCAACAACTCAGAATTTGATATTTCACAAATGCTGATGAAATGTTTAACTTTACTATGAAGCACATATTTGTTTTACTTATATTTTAATATTCTGTAAGTTTCATGCATTTAAATTAAATTTAAAGTCCTTTTAAAAATAATGATAACAGGGGTGCCTGGGTGGCTCAGTCATTAAGCTTCTTGCCTTCGGCTCAGGTCATGATCCCAGGGTCCTGGGATGGAGCCCTGCATCCAGCTCCCTGCTCCACGGGAAGCCTACTTCTCCCTCCCCCACTCCCCCTGCTTGTGTTCCCTCTCTGGCTGTCTCTCTCTCTCTGTCAAATAAATAAATAAAATCTTTTAAAAAATAATAATGTAACAGAGATATGGAAGAATACATAAATTTCAAGAGTAGAGCTTGATGAATTTTTTCAACTCAAAAACACTGGTGTAACCAGCACCTAGATCAGGATACCAAATATTATCAGTACCCAGAAAAGCTCTCTCATGTGACTTCCCAGCCCAAGAGTAATGACCATTTTAACTGATCTCACCACGTTTGTTTTCTAACTTTAAGGTATTCACACAGGTACACATTTGAGTATGGATCTTTTCTTTTAGATTATATATGTGAACTTCATTCATGTTGTTGTCTGTAGCAATAATTTCTTCTTTCTTATTGTATATGCTATTTCATTCATGAATAAACCATAATTTTATATCCATTCTACTGTTGATTAACACTGAAGCAGGACTATTAAATAGTGTCATGAAAATTCTTATATATAACTTTGTCTTTTGATTCACACATCTACGCATTTCTCTAGGATACATATCTAGGAATAAGAATTCTGTTTCATACAGAATGCAAAGATTCTGATTTAGCAGATACTACCAAAAGACTTTTCCAAAGTGATTGCGCTAATTTATAGTCTTACAAATAGTATATGAGACTTTAAATTTCTCCACAACCTCAGCAACACTTAGTATTGTTCATTTTAATTTTTGCCAGTGGGTAGATATTTTTAATATCTCATTGTTCTATGTCCTATTTTCTCTTATGACTAACAGATCCAACATATTTTTATGTACTTATTATTAGAATGTCCTCTTTAATAAAGTGCCTATTCAAGTATTTTGCTCATTTTTTATTGAGTTTATTATAGAGTTGCCTGAATTTTTCTTAATGAAGTATAGGAGTTACTTGCATATTCTTAATATTTGTTTTTTGCCATACATATGCATTGCAGATATCTCCTACTCTGAAACATCATCTCTTAATGTTTTTTTTTTTTTTGATTAACAGAAGTCCTTAATTTCAATAAAGTTAAATTAATTGATAGGTTCCATTATGGTTAGTGCATTTTATATTATTTTTAAGAAATATTTTCCTACCCTAAGAACATGAAGATATTCTATTTTCTTCTACAAGAATTTTTTTACCATTTATATTTGATTCACCTAGATTGATTTTTTTTAAAATGTATTTTAGGGATCAAGATTCTCCCCCCACCCACTTTTAAATATCCAAATGATTTAACAATACTTAAACAGTATACTTTTCACATTGCACTGCTATGACCTCTAGTCATATATCAAGTGAGCATATGTATGTGTGGGTTGGTTTCTATAGTCTCCATTTGCTCATATGCCTATTTGTTTACTCTTGACCATTACTACATTCTCTTTATTACTGTAGCTTTACAGTGTAAGTCTTCTGAGTTTGTTATAGTTCTCTAAGACTAACTTGTCAATTTTTGTCATGTTACATAAATATTCAAATTAGTCAGTTTCCATATATCTGAAAAGACTTTGGGAGTGAGTTTATTATTAGTGAAATTTGAGATAATTGGACATTTTTGCAATATTGTCTTCTAGTACATAGACATGGAGTGTACTACTATTATTTGGATCTATTTTAGTGTTAATATTGCATGTAATTTACTAATCAGAAGTCTTGTGGTGCATTTGTTAAGTGTATTCCTAAATATTTGATATTTTAGGATACTGTGTTAAATATTTGATGTTTTAGAATATTATTTTTAAAATACATTTAGTTTTCTTATATTTCATGCTGCTATATAGAGTATAATTATTTTTCTAACATTTTATTATAAAAAATGCCAAATAAATGGCAGTTGGAAGAATTTTGTAGCACACACATAAATACTACCCTCAATATTTTGCCATACTTGTTATCACCCATCACTTACATTATACCCACCTAGATTCTGTAGATTAAAAAAAAAATTGAAAAATGCCAACAAATGAAAAGGAAACCTATACATATATACATCATGGTGAACCTGTGAAATATTAAATAAAACAATGGTGTTAAAATCATTAAGAAAAAAAGATATTATTTTGAATTACTAGTTGAATTAGTCAACAAAAATTCAATTAGTAATTGAATTTAGTCAATAAAAACACTCTTCATTAGAAATGATAGAAGCCAAAATATGTGATATGATGTTTTCAGTGTGCTCAAGGAAAATAATACACCCAGTCATTTTCAGACCAACAAAAACCAAGAGACTTTGCCTCAAGTAGACTCTCACCAATGGCAATTACAAATATGTAATTCAAGAAGAAAATAAAGCAACTTCAGAATGAGGCCTAAGATGCATATATAAATAAAAAGCAAGAAATTAATAAACGGGTACATCTAAATATAAGATTAACCAGTTTGGCTGAATAAAAAAAATAAAAATAATAATAAGATCAGTGAATATTATGGGTTGAAATGTATTTCCTTCAAATTCACATGTCAAAGTTCTAACCCCCATAACCTCAGAATGTGACTCTGTTTAGAAACAGGGGTGAGTAGGGTGGGCCCTAATCAAATACGACTGGTGTCCAAACATTGTAAGAAATTAGGACACAGATAACAGTTAGAGAGATGATCTTGTAAGGACACAGCAAGAGGTAGCCATCGGCAGGCTGATAAAAGAGGCTTCAGAAGAAACCAAACCGGCCACACCTTGATCTTTGACTTCCAGCTTCCAGAATTGTGAGAAAGTAAGTTTCCATAGTTTAAACACCCTGTCTGGGCTATTTTGTTATCAGAATCCTAGCAAACTAATATAGTGAGATTTTAAAAGTATGAATTAAAAAATACAATATTAGCACAAAAGTGATATGGACTAACTGGAGTGTCCTAATGTCTTCATTATTCAAAAAAGGAAGTGAAGATACTAATCATCTCAAATTTTGGAGAGTCAGATATTCATGTTTACATATGTTGGGCAACTTCTAAAAGAAATCAAGTATTTATCTCCTCAATGAATAGAAGGAAATATGTGTAATGATGAAAAAATAAAAATAAAGTAAAAAAAAAAAGTGGAAAAAAAGAGAACAATAAAAAGCACCAAATAATATACTGGTGTTTGTCCAATTATAGCAATAAACAATGTAGCCTCCGTTTAAAAAACAAGACTATTATTTTTTTGTCTTTTTGATTTTAGCCATTCTGACAGGTACAAGGTGATATCTCATTATAGTTTTGATTTGCATTCCCCTGATGATTAGGGGTGTTGAACGAGGATGTGGAGAAAAAGAAATTCTCATGCACTGTTGGTGGGAATGCAAACTGCTACAGCCACTGTGGAAACAGTATGGTTCCTCAAAAAATTAAACAGAAATACGTTATGATACAACAATTCCACTACTGGGTATTTACTCAAAGAAAACAAAAACACTAATTTGAAAAGATATATGCACCCCTATGTTTATTGCAGCATAATTTACAATAGTCAAGATATGGAAGCAGCCTAAGTGTCCATTAATAGATGAATGAATAAAGAATATGTGGTGTATAAATACAATGGAATATTGCTCAGCCATAAAAAAGATAAGATCTTGCCATTTGCAACAACATGGGTGGACCTAAAGGGTATTATGCTAAATGTGATGTCAGAGAAGGACAAATACCATATGATTCCACTTATATGTGGAATCTAAAAAACAAAACAAATGAATAAACAAACAAAAAGCAGAATTAGATCTATAAATATAGAGAACAAACTGATGAGGAAGGGGATTGGGAGATGGGCAAAATGGGTTAAGGGGAGTAAGAGATACAAGCTTTCAGTTATGGAATAAATAAGTCATGGGAAAAATAGATACAGAATAGGGAAATAATCAATGATATAGTAACAGTGTTGTATGGTGACAGATGGTAGCTACACTTGGGGTGAGCATAGCACACTGTACAGAGAAGTTGAATCACTATGTTGTATATCTGAAACTAATGTAACATTGTCTATCAACTATACTGCAATTAAAAATAATAATAAAAATTTTTGCAAAAGACAGATTGTCAGTCTGGCTAAAATAATCCAACAATATAAGGAAAATATTTAAAATATTAGGAAACAATAAAGTTTCACTAAAAATATGGTTTGTGTTGTTCAGCGAAAAAGTGTTTAGGCTAAAGTTAGTATTAATAGAGAATATTTGAACCATATAATTAACATGTTTGACTAAACTGACATATAAAATACTACACAAACTATGTGCATTTCAAGTACACATAGAATATTTATAAAATTAGAACACATAATGAAACATAAAGAAGATCTCAAGCAATTTCAAGCATTTGAATCATAGAGAGCACATCCTCTGACCAAAATATAATTAATTAAGTCATAAACCAATGACATAAAAAGTGTTTTAGAAAAGCTGTGTGCCAAGGGGAGAGGAACCATGAGAGACTATGGACTCTGAGAAACAAACTGAGGGTTCTAGAGGGGAGGGGGATGGTGGATGGGTTAGCCTGGTGATGGGTATTAAAAAGGGCACGTATTGCATGGAGCACTGGGTGTTATATGCAAACAATGAATCATGGAACTCTAAATCAAAAACTAATGATGCAATGTATGGTGACTAACATAACATAATAAAATAAAATTAATAAAAAAAAGAAAAACTATGTGCCAAACTTTTTTTTTCTGAGTTTAAATGCATTTTATTTTTAGGCAACCTACATGACCTTTTTTTTCCCTTAAAAACAATACCTCCACACCAAATAAATCAAGGTCAAAATAAATGAAGAGCTCAAGATGACATCAGTCTCATTTGTCTAAGTCCTGGCCTTGTGTGGATGAAAAGCAGCAGCCAGTTCTGACAACAGGTGATACCTCTAAAGTTAATAGCCAAATTCATGAACATTTTTCCATTTCTAAACCATCCTTAAAAAAAATCATATATGGGGTCACACCATCCTCACAGAGTCCAACAGAGCATCCATGCCATCTAGATTCATGTTTTCACCAATAAAGAACTGGTAGTTTTTGAAATTAGCAAGGATATGCGTGATTTGTTCTGCAACCCCTGCAATAAAAGATTTTACTCTATCTGGACTCTGTTCTTCAAGTTTGCCTTTGACTGATTCCATAGAATCTTTGATGTACTTCTTGTAGGGTTCTTTTGTGAAGCTGGTTTCCTGCAAGTGATGGTTCATGATCATATCAACACCAGTGACTACTGTGGTTTTGGTACCTTTGTCCTTGGGACCTTCCATGGAGGCATTTTCATCAATGAATGAGTCATCAGTGTTACCCTCTGTCCTACTGATCAACTTCCCCTCCACCTCTAGGCACAGCCCATCTGGGATCTCCCAGATCTTGTAGATGTCTGAGAAGATCTCATCATGGCTGATGAAGAGGAGACCACAGTGATGCTAGTTTAGCAGGAGCCAGAGCTTCAGCCAGAGTGGCACTTGGCGGGGGGTGGGGAGAGGCAGAACGGGTGGAAAAAAGCTGTGCAAAACATTTAAAAAATACGCTTTTAAGTAATTTGTGTGTCAAAGAAGAAATTTTAAAAAGATTAAGAAAATGTTTTAATGTAAAAGGTAATATAATATAGTTCATATAAAACCATTAAAAAAAAAAACAACATTTGGATGCTCAGCAATATGGAGTAGATTATAATAGCCCAAGCATTCCATTGACAACAAATAGGAAAATCTAGAATAATTTTTTTGTATTCATTTATTTTTATAGATGGGTGGGGGGAGGAGCAGAGGGAGAGGGACAAGCAAGCCCCATGCTGAGTGCAAAGCCCAACCAAGGGCTTCATCCCACCACCCTGAGATCATTACCTCAGCTGAAATCAAGAGTCCAAGGCTTAACTGACTGAGCCACCCAGGCACCCCAGAAAATCTGGAATAATTATAAATATCATACATGTAATGTCTACATATTGTTGAAGAAGTAATGGGGACTACAAGGAGTAAAACTCAACAGAGCTGATAAACTTTCAGAGATGAGCTGGTGTTCTGCAACTGTCTTTGGAAGCATTCTGACTATTCTGGTTGCCTATCCTGGTTGCATGTTAGAAACTGTGAATCTAAGCTTAGGGCCACTGAGAGGAGCAGAGAAACCAGCCATGTTTCTGGTGGTCACACAAGGCTGAAGTGATACACTGAAAACTCCAGTAACCTAAACCTCTTGACTGATTACTATCTCAATGAGGGTTGCCAGGAAAAATACAGGACACCCAATTAAATTTGAAACTTAGATAAACAGAAAATACTTTTTAAATGTAAGTATGTCAAATTTTGAATGGTACATACTTGTACTAAAACTTTAATTGGCTATTTATCTAAAATTCAAATGTACTGGGTGTCCTGTCCTTTTTTTTTTTTTTTAATTTTTTGCTTAATCTGGAAACTTTAATCTTAAGACATTTGCTGAATCCCCAAAAACTGGGGAGACAGAAACAAAGAGAAAACCACCAAATAATAGACTAAATATAAGACAATTGTTCGTCTTATTTTTGTAATGTCTGAAAATCTGAAATTACTTAAAAATAAGTTAAAAAATAGTGCAAAAAGAAAGAATCATTAATCATTTCATGAGTCAGAAATTTATGGCAACACATCCATCTTAATAAACACACCCCAGGTAATGTCAAAATTAAGCACAAGAAAGAAAGAAAATAGAGTGGAGAGCGCCAAATAAAGAAAATAGAGTGGAGAGCGCCAAATAAAGAAAATAGAGTGGAGAGTGCCAAAGAAAAAAAGTCTCCTATTCTACTAAGGCTGTTGGACTGAAACAAATACTCAAGGTTTCGTTTACATTTTTTTAAAAAGATTTATTTATTTATTTATTTGACAGAGAGAGACACAGAGAGGGAGGGGAACACAAGCAGGGGGAGCAGGAGAGGGAGAAGCAGGCTTCCCGCTGAGCAGGGTGCCCGATGTGGGGCTTGATCCCAGGACCCTGGGATCATGACCTGAGCTGAAGGCAGACGCTTAACGACTGAGCCACCCAGGTGCCCCCACATTTTTTTTTTTGTAGAATATGACTGAGATGGAAAAAAAATAAATATTTTACAATTTACATAATACTACTATTTATTCAAGAAAAGTTTTTACTGTAACTTGCATACAAATAAAAATTAAATATTGAAATATTTTTATTTGAATATAATTTGTAGCATTGAAAACAACTAAAGAGACATTTATATATCTGGTATCAGAAAGTTTCTGACTTTTATTACCAGGAGTTACCTTCATAATAGTTAATTTTTTTCACTCTTTAAACACCTTAAGTGTAGGAGTCTTTTTCTTTTTCTAATAGAAACAAGAGTACCATATTCAGGTACTCATAATAATATTTGTAAACATAAGAGACTCTTAATCTTAGGAAACAAACTGAGGGTTGCTGGAGGGGAGGGGTGTGGGGGGTAACTGGGTGATGGACATTAAGGAGGGCATGTGTTGTAATGAGCACTGGGTATTATATAAGGCTGATGAATCACAGACCTGTACCCCTGAAACAAATAATACATTATATGTTAATTAATTGGATTTAAATTAAAAAAATAATATTTGTGTCCTATCTGGCATCTTCCTGTACACACACACACACACACACACACAGAGAACAAGAAAATTATAATAGCACAGAAATTGCCAAGTAAGGATAAATAAGAAGGAATGGACCTTTAAACTACACTTTAACTATAATTGTAGCCACAGATTTACAGATAGACTATTAATATTATCAGTGGCATTTCCAGAAAAGAACAACATATATTATATATTTAAGCTAACTTCAAACAAGGGAGGTCATTCTTTACTAGTTTCTTGGCATTTTATGTGGTTTTACTCCTTGGATTAAAAATAGGTATGAAACAAACATCATATATTAATTAGATTTTCAGGAAACATTTTATAAATTTGGCACCAGAAGTTGACGAGTAAGATGTAAAGATAAGTAATATGTAAAGTCAAGGAAAATTGACAGATTAGATTGAAAGCTGGTGGAGAGCCAAAGAACAAGAAGTGAAGAAAAGATAAAATATCTTAAGTCATCCTGAGGTTAGTTTGGCTAAGGGGCTGACATTTGTAACATACAATATATAATTGTAAGACCAAAATGACATTGATACCAGTTAGCCCTGATTTATGCAATCTAAGAAAAATTACCGATAATATTTTTTAAGAATATCCTATAATAACAAATACCATTTATTAGTTTCTTTTTTTTTACAACTATTTTTGAGTTCCTCTACTAAGCTAGGTCCTATTGTGAGCTTTGAGGTCACAGCAGTGAATAAGTCAGGGAACATTTCTGCCTCCATAGGGCCCATTTCCAATGAAGACATATATATATATATATTTTTTTATTTTTTATTTCTGAAGAACACCAAGAGGTAAATAAAGAGCTAAAGGAGAAAGCACTGGAGGTGTGGCAGGGGTAGAACATTACTTTAGATAGTGTATTTAGGGAAACTCTATGAAGAAGTAACTTTGGGGTTGAGGCCTGAACGACGACAGGTGCTCAACCAGAAAAAACAACTGGTCCTTAGCCACTGAAGTAGAAATGATCTTGATATTAAACCACAACTGTTCTACATTTTTAAAAAGATTTTATTTATTTATTTTAGAGAGAGTGGGGGAGGGGCAGAGGGAGAGGGAGAAAGGGAATCCCAAGCAGACTCCATGCTGAGCGCAGAGCCCAACTCAGGCCCCAATCTCAGGAGCCTGAGATCATGACCCGAGCTAAAACCAGGAGTCGGATGCTGAACCAAATGACCTGCCCAGGCGCCACCCCTGTTCTACCTTTTCATGAGAATTTTCACTTAAGAATATTCACTCATGATAGTTATTACTACTTGATTTCACATAAATTTTGGGGACTTGTGACTCTAGAAATGCAATTATAACTCATACAGTGACAGCTGCCTAGTCTGTCTTGATATTCATCAGACAGCATGTCTTGACTTGATGACTGGCTGCACAGAACAATCTTAGGAGAGATTTTCTGCACTAAAGGATTATTGAATATCAAAATTCACTTTTATTCTCCTTATAAAGACATTTGAAATTTGAGACAAAAAAGAAAATATTTAGATTCACAAAAATAAGAGAGATGGCAGTCTAATTTAAGATATAATTTTTGTTTTGTCATTTATTTCATGTTTTGTTCCTCAAATACTATTTTTCAAGGTACTTCCTATTTAAAAATAAATATAATACCCATTTCTTATAGAAATGAATATTTAATGTTTATAATCAATTCCTATTTTCTTTCATTTATAAATTTAGTGAACAATTCATTTACAGAGATAATGGACAAATCTAGGTAACAGCTACTATATTTTTAAATAAAAGTACATATAAAGGTTCAAAATGATGGCAATGATTTTTTTAAAGATCTCAACAACCTCCCCATTATAAGTATTCTCTAATTTCCTCTTTAGTCAACAAATTTCATTTATATGTCTCCAACTTACATGATTCTAAGTCAAATATTATGACTGAAATAAAATAGAAAAATAAAGAATAGTTGGAAGCACAGAGAGATCAGGAAAAACCTTCAGATTTCATTATATTATATAGAAACGTGGAAAAATCTTTTCTCTGAGTACCCATCACTGCCACGCAGTCTCACACACACACACGAACAACAGACAACACTGTGTGAGGATTCTTCATTGTGTCAGTATAATCGAGGACGTTGTCAGTCTTGTCTCTTTGATCTGTTACTCTTCACATATGGTTAACTGTCAATTACCTAATATGTTCATCCCCTATATATTTTTATTCTCTGTCACTTTTCTTCTACCCCTACTTCAATTTTCTTTATTTAGGAACTTGCCACCTCTCATCTGTTGGTCAACATGCTTCTGATGTCTTACCTCCCTATTCCAAATCTGTTCTTTGTAGCACTGTCAGAGGCTACATATGAAAAATTATTGTATCCCATTCTTGCTTAAATTCCTCCAGTAGTTTCACAAATTCTATGACTAAAATCCAGGCCTTTTAATGTGACATACAAGACTATACAGAATCTGTAGGGAAGCATTGCCTGAATGAGTTATTTTTTCCCTCAGATTAAGGCCTGTGATCGATCCCCTAAACATTCACAGGTAAATACTCAGAGTTCTCTAAGTTCAAGGCAAGTTATGAATTTTCTAGATGACAACTTAAAAGCATATATTGACTAGAAAATTCAGTATCACGATCTGTGTGCTAAAGGATTTAACGAATACATTAGTGATATGGTTGGT